TATAGACAAGGATCCCACTTTTTATTCAGGTTTAGAACAGAAGAATTCTATCCAAATGTGCTTGTTTGTGTAAGCTAGCATATATAGGCTGTCTTTGTTGGTAACTATGATTTTGGAATATTATAAGAATGAAGCTTGAAGGATTAAATATTCAGTCCTTTTTACATTAACAACTAAAAGACGTTGCTTTTCTTCATTAAAAAAAAAGACGTTACTTTTTAAAAAGGTTAAAAAGATAAGAATTAATATTATATACACTGTCAGTGTATATAAAATATACTATCACCATTAAATATATGACACATGTGTAAAATTTGAATTTAAAATTTAAAATTTGTTCATATATCATCCATCCAACGGTGATAATGTATGCACTGATTGTGTATATAAAATTTATAATTTCCAATTTCCAATTTCCAATTCTTCCGTGGCAAAACTGTGAAATACCGAAACTAAGCTAAACCAGCTATATTCTGGGCGATGCAGATTGAACAGCCCTCTGGCCCATATTTCCATTTTACTCTTTGGGCGGTCTGGAATCAAAATTTTCAATCAAAATTTGCAACAGATTCCGAGAAGGTGGGCAGATGAGGGCCTTACGTGGGTGGGCCTTATAACATGGACCATGGGCGAGTGTTGCGTAAATAATGGGATTTTCCAACGAGTGCATGGGTGCCTATTGGGCATTCCTTAAATTTACCCAACTTATTATGTATATATATATATATATATATATATATATGCTAACAATTATTATTCTCTTTTATATTTATATACTTTTCTATTTAATCTTACTTATCATCAAAGGTTTCCTCGGACAGGACGGAGATTGGCCCTTGAGTGCAAAGGCAAAATGGAGCTTGACTGCAAAACCCACCTGACGAGCAGGGACGAAAGTCGACATTAGTGATTTGACGATGCCGAGTGGAAGGGCCATCGCTCAACGAATAAAAGTTACTTTAGGGATAACAGGCTGATCTTCCCCAAGTGCTCACATTGACGGAAACGTTTGGCACTTTGATGTCGGGTCTTCGCTACCTGGGGTTGTAGTATGTTTCAAGCGTTGGGTTGTTCGCCCATTAAAGTAGTACGTGAGCTGGGTTCAGAAAGTCGTGAGACAGTTTGGTCCATATCCGATGTGAGTGTTAGAGCATTGAGAGGACCTTTTCCTAATACGAGAGGACCGAAAAGGACGCATCCCTTATATTTATTTACTTTTCCTAATTAATTTTACATTTTAAAAAATATGAGACCTGAAATATATATTAACGTTTTGGACACACATTAGATAGACTTGTAAATAATTAGCCATTTTGGTGCATTTAGTTCAGTCCAGGCAATTCTAAATTAATGCTGTTTGATTGAATATTTTTTTTAGTGTAAGTGGGATGTTTCAAATTCGAAATCTCTCAGTTATACTCCCTCCCCCAATACTCCCAGCCCACTCCTCCTCTCCTCTCCCCCTCGTTTGATTGAACTTGAATCATCTTTTAGCTACTTTAGTCTACAATATATTGCCCAGACCCGACCTGATTAGGGATTTTGATACCGCAAGCCGAATTGTTACTTTTGGATTTGATAGTAGATTTTTATATATGTTTGGCTGGTCAGATGGAACTCTCTAGCCTCAACCTCCTTGAGTATATAGACTTCAATTGACACAGTATTTTTTTAACTTTATATTTTATATTTCTATTTTTATTATTTTTAGCAGGGAAAGGATGAGATTTAAAAAATAGAAAGAAATAAATTTCAATTGACATATAGCATTTTTTAACTTTATCATTTTTATTTTTATTTTTTAGGCTCAACCCTAACCTCCTTGACTATATAGACTTCAATTGACATATAGTATTTTTTTTAACTTTATCTTTGATTTTGATTTTTATTTTTTAGCAAGGAAGTGTGATATTTAAGTAGTAGGAAGCGGAAAGGAGGAAATTGAACGCACAACCTCTAATTCATATCTTTGGCTTCATTTCATAAAATACATTATTTTAGTCATATAATTCTATTGTATGACAAATTAGTTAGTAAGTTATAGAACGTGAATTTTCTGGACTTTCACATAAATCACATATGATTCCTAATTTTTTTTAGTTTCCTTCAAATGTACGAGAAGAAAGCCATTTAAAAAAATAAAGTTGGGCAGAATTGTGTATCTTTTTATGCATATACAGTTATACCAGTAAAAAGTATGCTACATTAATTATATATCACTTTTCACTTGTGTTTTGCTTACGAGATATTAAATGCTTAAATAATTTATACTACTCCATTCTTTGTTTTATTTTTATTTTTGACATATAATACTCCATTGTTATACTGCACATAACTCACAAGACACATTTTCATTGGAATAAAATCCAAATTTTGTAACTAAGCAGAATATCATTCATGGACTATGAAAATCGGAAAGCTTACTATTTATTTTACACATTTAGTTAGAAAATACAAATAATTGTTAGGATATTTGAAAATGGAAAAATTTTACAAAGCCTCTTAAAGTGTGAGGTTATCCATTTTTAGCACCTCCACAATTAAAATAGTTGTACTTTAGTCCCCTCCCATTAGGGGTGCAAACGAGCCGAGCCGAGTCGAGCTTTGGCCTTATCGAGTCGAGCCTTAACTTAATTTCATCGAACTCGAACTCGAGCTCGAGCTCGACGAGCTGGTAATTTTCAAGCTCGAGCTCGAGCTCGACTCGATTCGAGCCGAGCTCGAGCTCGAGTTCGAGCTCGAAAAAAATAAAAAATAATTATTTTATTTTTAAAAAAATAAATAAAATAATATTTTTTCTTAATAAATAATAAAATATTAAGGATATTTATGTAATTTTACTATTAAAAATAAAAATAAAAAAAATAAATATATATATACTCGAGCTCGCGAGCCGGCTCGCGAGCTAACGAGCTTAATGTTTTGAGCTCGAGCAGCTCGAGCTCGACTCGAGCTCGATATTGATCGAGCTCGACTCGAGCTCGAATCGAGCGGCTCGCGAGCGGCTCGATTCGTTTGCACCCCTACCTCCCATATTCAATAAGGCAAATTACACTTTACCCCTTGTGATTTAGTACTTTTTTACATAACCCCCTATAGTTTCAAAAGTTATACATAACCCCCTCATGATTTAGATTAAAATGTCAAAGTGAAAGAATTTGCAATCCATAATGGAGTCAACTAAAATATCAAAAATACCCCTTCGTAAAGTTGAAAATTATTTATTAATCACATGGGGATTATGTTTATATTTTGAAAACCATAAAGGGGTTGTATGTTAAAGCACTAAATCACAAGGGGATTATATGGTAAAACATAAAATCACACGGGGTTAGAGTTAGAGTGTCATGCATATTATATTTATATATTTTGATTACTTCAGCTATTTTAATTTTTAATCAAGGGTAATTTTGACATTTTTGTAAGTTTCGTTATAAATGATCATTTCCGTCATTTTGATACTTTAATCCAAATTATGAGAGGGTTATATATAACTTTTAAAACTGTAGGAGGTTATGTGAAAATAGCTATATCACATGGGGTAATGTGTATTTTGCCCTATTCAACAGTCACCATTCAATTATTCGTCTGAAAATATAGCATGCTCCTATATTCAAGTCTTGCACTTTGCCAGGCATCATCCGGCTAATTAAGGAATACAATGCCCTGGGATGCAAGATCTTATTGGATTGCTTTAACTATAGCAAAAAAGAAGCTTCATGTTACTTGGTGCCACATGCCAATTCCTTTTCATCTATAGCATCATTGGTTGATTATTCCCTAGTTCGGGTACCAAAATCAGATTAGGACTTTGTCTTAGGACCTTTATAAGAAAGAAAATGAAATGAAGTCATTTCTTCTTTCACTTAATTAATATTTTCACAAAATATCTACCTATTATGTACAAGAACAAATTCAATATAAAGTTACAAACCAAATCCTTAGCCTACTAGCTAGACTGGAGGAAACTTGTTGCATATCAGAAACAAATCCTTGCACCATTAGTTAGATTGGAGAAAACTTGTTGCATATCAGAAGTTGAAAACAATGAATATTGATCTTAAGCCAATGAAAAGTAGACAAGAATTGAAATGTGCCTAAAATGAGGATTACCTAGTCATGATTTATGGGGACTAGATCCATAACACCTTCTCTTTTAAGAGCACTTATTGAGGAAAATAGAAACTAAAGCCCCCTCCTCGTAAATTTTGATTTGATTACTTAAGAACTTAGTAGACTTTCCTCCTTGTATCATGAATTTCGTTGTTTGTTTTGTTTTCCACCAAAAATTATAGAAGAAAAGGATGGGAAGTTAACTGGAGACAAAAAAAATAGTACATTGCTGTTAAAGGAAATAACGAATGATGGTGCAAAAGCAGGCCAACCAAAAAGAAAAGACAAATAAAGCACAAGGAGGCTATTTGTTTTCTTCAGTGTAGATTGACAATCTGCAATATGATGAAAACTTAAAATGCAAAAGGAGATTCTCATGCAGCAACACAGCAATTACTATAAACAAAAGAGAACCCTTATTAAAAAAGAGAGAAAGAGAGAGAGTTTTTGGCGTTGAAATTTGCTCAAAGAATCCTTCCAGAGGAGACCAGAAGTCACCATCTTGAAGTTGAAACATATCCAATCTGGCGAGCCATCTGTCAGATTTATAAGGCACAAAAAGTTAAATACAAGAATTATCTCAAACACATCCCCTTTGTTTTAGAAGTTAAATTTTTTTCCCATTTTATGTCTTTTTAATTCTTAACCATGAGAAGAATAAAATGTCCATGGATTATTGGAAGTTTTCGATATTCTATAGCATAGAATGGCAAGTCTTCTCATGATTAACAATCTATGTAACTCTAAAATTCAATATGGAATTATTTTTTCAATTTGAACGATTATACAGAATGGTTTGATAAAGAATTAACATGGCTGGTAAAGAACTAGTAATTCTTAAAAATTTACCTCAAAAAGTTGTGGGCAAATTAAATTATGGGCAGATTTCAGACATTCAATGGAGATCTTTTCCAATCTAGACCTCTGTCTCTGCCTGCAAACCATTGAACTGTCCTTGTTGCTATAGACAGCCAGAGCTTTCTAATTATCTCGTTCCTTCTCCCACTCCTGGACAAGACTGATGATTCATTAGTCCGGTTTCTGGCACTGTACTCTGCATATCGTGGAAAGTTGATTATTTCTGACTTTGATCTCTTCTCAGCTGAATCGAGTAGCGTCAAGTTTACCTTCTGGTTTAGGCCAATGTTGGCAGCAATTGGTGGGCTTGATGCTGTAACTGGATGTCCTATAACTTTGCTGACTTTTGATACATACAATGGTTTTCTTTCTCTGTCTTCTTTGATCTCGAAAATACTTTGATTCATGAGAAATTCTTCGCCAAACGTCTGGCGTTCAGGCTTGAATGGGGAGAATATTTTACTTGAGTTCAGATTCAGCATTTCAGACCTTAAGCACAATAAGTCTGAGGAGTTGACATCGCTCCATCAACTTCTGTAAATAAGGTCAGAGAAAAAGATTTTGTGCTTGAATTTATGCAAGAGATCTCTGTCTGATTTATCAGCTCTCTACCTCTGGGGATTGACTGATCTTCTTTCCTGCCTACACTGAGTTTCTGAAGACTTCTGACCATATTAAATCTGGATGACTTGTGATGTTCTTGCTCTCTTTGGATGAAAAGTTCAATATTGGTTCCTCTGACAGATTGGATGAGTTTTGAGGGTACCTTAAACTATTTGTAAAAGAAAAGCTCCTGAGATCCACTGTATCAAACTTGTACCTGCAAAGAGGGCAGCTAGAGTGGCTTTCAAGCCACTTATCAATACAATTTATGTGGAATGCATGCTTGCACCCTGGCAACAAGCGAAGCACTTCGATGTCTTCACACTTTGATAAACAAACTGCACATTCTAGGCCTTCTTTTGAGCCCTTAAGTGATGAGAAAGTGAAAAATGGGAGAGAATCAATTATACTTTTTTGCAACCCGGATACTGATCGAAGAACACCTTCAGGCTCTTGCTCTTGATCATCTGGGTCATTAGACAGAGCTGAGTGACACAATTTGGTGTATGCCAGCAACAAAAAAAAGTAATGTAATCATTACTGAAAGAATACCAACAATGACAACAAGTTTTGGATTGACAGGATTGCGGAGATGCTGACTGGGGCTATCTAGTGCTTTGACATGTAACGCTGAGAACAGAACTATGATTGATGCCTTCTTAAGATTCATTGAGTGAACTGGCAGTCTTCTTGGTTTCCAGAAGTGGATATCTAGGCTGCCATTTATCTGTTTCATTTTCCATGAAATCCAGTGGCCAAAAGGGTGTCAAATGGCTTCTCAGCTTTGTACATGAAAGTTGTCCTTGTGCAAGATCTGATTCTCTGGTCTCTTATTCGCTGCCTCTTTTGCCATCTTATTTAAAGGTCTTCACTGGTTGCCTCATCCGTCTTTAATAGGATCTGCTAGAAATATTAAGACAAAGATTACCATCCATTACCATCTGTCTTTAATAGGAAAGTGTACTGAATCCATCAAAATAATCTCCATAGGTAGGTACATTTCTGCTGGCTATAGTCTGATCAAAATAATTGTTTGGCCTCCTCCAGAGGCGATAGAAATCAGATTGGGAACCTCTAAAATCATACGTTAGCAGAATTGCCACTTCTGATTGCATGAAATTTCTTTGCAGCCTTGGACAGCAAAGATTATATAATGTAAAGGATGATTTTTTGCTAGTTCAAGAAATCAGGCCAGATACAAATGGTTCAAAGTCTCGGCCGAGTTGTCACCGGAACAGACCCTCCGATACGATATCGGGACGAGATGATTCCAAAATATTTGACTCGCCAAGAACTCGGTCGAGAAGTCTTCGATACAGATAGTCTCGGCCGAGTCGGCTCGAGTCATCCGAGTCAACTCACAAGTTTACATTTACAGATTCTCTTTTGCTATTTTTTAATTATTTTTGTTTAGCATATTTTTGAATATTATTCACAATTTTAAAATATTAAATGCTTCAAAATTTGTATTTCGCCGAAACCGATATAGAACGGTCCGGACAGCGACCGCTACTTTGAACCACGGATACATTTGTAGCACCCCAAAAGTTGTTCTTTTTAGCACTGTGTTGAACGTTGAAACAGCATCTACAAGTAAGATGTTCCGTCGTTAGCTGGGAAAAAACTATCTACTATTCATATTTTATAGTACTGTGAACGGTATCTCTGCCGATAGCCTCTAAACAAAAGAGGCTATTTACAACAAACGAGGATAAGAGCCACAAATGATTTTTATGACTCCAGATAATCGCCACTTCCTTCACTTGTGCACTCAAAGGCACAAGACAGCGGCAATCTGTAATTGAAAAGCCTGTTCAAAACTGTCCTACAAATGAATACTTCGATCTATCAAGCATGTTCCACAGTTCAATTCACAAATTCAGATGCGTAGCCAGCTAATCTGGTGATAATAAAGTTTTGTCTACAAGGTTTTGTCTACAAAGATGAGTACTGTCAAATGAACTGTCATCACCTTTGTTGATTCAGTCAGACTATCAATCTTTCTTTTTCCCCTGAAAATTAAAAACATGTTTCTGGTTGTTCAAAGGATTACTGGAGAGATGCCAGCTGCTTCAGCTGTTTATCTGGTACTGCATGTTAGAACTTGTAATTATCTACATATTTGTTGCTTTTTACATGTATGAACGGCCATCATCTGCTTCAGATTAAAGCAATAAAGAGCATATAAGAATAAAGAATACCACAAGGACAAAAATGAAGGAGGGCAACCATGCACATCTAACACCCTAGATAGCTCTGAATTGTTATTTCTTTCACATATTAGATCTGACAACTAGATTTCAAACGAAAAATAGGTAAATCTTACAGACAAGAAAGAACTTTTACACAAGAAAAGGAATGTACCCTCTGCCGAAATGTCTATAAACCTTGGTATTCCCTGAATGTGCAAACAAGCACGCCTCTAGAATTTAAATTTATGCAATTTATAACTCCACATTGATCTCACGCCAAAGATATTGCTAGCCTTGTGAACATAATGCCAGAAAAGCTCCATGAAAACCATACGGCACTCTACTTGGAAGCGTGATCTTGGCAATTGGTTCACTTGCAAACTTCTTGGCATCAATGACATAGACCTGGATAGAGGGCATGGCAGTTGTAAAACTTATTGCTAAGGAATCAATACACAATACCTTCTACACACTCTCTACCTTAATAAATGTGATATAACTTGCCTGAGATATATTAGTCCGTTCATCGTGTACAAACGCGATGATCCAACCATCATCCTCTTCAACACCAACAGAGTTAGGGACAAAGGTGGCTCCTGAACAAAATGTGTTTTCTTGAAACTTGTGACGCTCAACCTTCATGGACTCTTCAGGCTGGTAATCCAACTAGAATCAATGATTTTGGTATTTCAGAAAACAATAAAAGAGGGGGAATTCGAAACTTCAAGAAAAGCACAGAAGAATAGCAGAGGAAACGGTACCAGTGAAAGGTCAAATGCTTTGTCTTCAAAATAAAGCTTTGCAAGTCCACCGTATTTTGCCATCCCTGAGAATTTCAATCACCCAGTCGATTTTAATTAAGAAAGCTCTTGGCAGAGGGCAAGACTTGCGTCTAGACTCTACAGAGATGGCAGTTACATGGGTACCTGAGTTTGAGCTTGCCGTAGAATCAACAACCTGTGTGTATCCATATTTATTTTTAACACCAGTAAATTTCTCATTTATAACAGGGAATTCCATAGAAAACTCTGTCCCAGTAAGATATCTTCCTTTAACCTCTCCAGATTCAATGTTCAATCTCCACTCATAAACACGACTAAAAAATGCTCCATCCTGTAAATCTTTCTGAGATGTATCTACTGACCTTATATGCTTAAAACCTCTGGAAAACCACTCAAATTTGTTAGAACCAAATTCAGGTCCTGGTATAATTGATCCACGAGCTCTGCACGCCATCACCACAATCTGCTCAGTGCAATAATAACTTCAAAATGTGTCAATTGTTAGTTGTTACAACGATGAGGTAGCTTTCAATTTAAGGACTGGTACATGTGCACCAAAAACAGAAACAAATTATCTTTTCAGGTAAAAATTAGCTTGATTATTTGATGAAGAATCAATAATTACCTCATCACCATCCTCGAAACAATTAATCATGTGAAGTGCAGCGCATGCTTCCACCTCAAACCACCTGATGGACTTAGCATCTCCATAACGAGGCATTACTCCAATTCTTGCATATCCTTCTGTCTCATACCTTATTAGTCTACAAAGCCAACAAATGAAAGAGATGACTGGAACATATTCCAAAAATCTGATCTATATTCATTAAAAGACACGAATATTGATCTAAGGAGTACATACGGGCCACCAGTCATCAGTCGATTCATGTCTATAGTTAGCGGAAAATCCATGATCACATTATAGCTGCAAAATGAGTTGAAACTTATGAAGATAGTGTCATAATTAAATTAGTTATTTTGGACTAACACATGCTCCGACTAGATTAAGATAGACTACCTTTCTGTAACCCCTATGTCATGGCAAAGAGTGCACCTTTTTAGTCCAAGGTCCACTTGATGTTTCATTTTCCTCCCGTCAGCTGTCCAGGGGGGAAAATGTCTCAACCAGCGGCTATTGTTGGAGGCTAATCAGTGATAAAATCGAACAAAACCTTACCTGATAGGACTCCCAGCTTCATATGTGGCCTTTGTGCACTAACCCCAAACACTACAAGTTCTCCTGTTGATAAAACTTTCTGTATCCCTTAGAAAGCATGAAAAACTAATCTCAGTTCATATATGTAAAGTTACCATAGTGATGACATTCATGATACATCATACATGTGAATTGTTTGAGTACCTTGGGGTGGCTGGTAAAGGGTCCATCCCAAGCTCCATGAAGGTCCCATTTTCCTATAGTTTCAAGTGTCTTGATGTCAATTTCTTGAGGTGCATGATTCTCAGCAATCGCATAGAATCTCCCAGAATGCTCAAAAACGTTGGTATTGCTAAGGAATTTGTCAACAGTGCCAAATCTCAACTGAGACGAGAAACATAAACTCAAGTTGTCAGAAGGTGACTACAACAGCATTGTGTAGAATTCTTAGAAGGCTAGGGACTCAAATGTTTCAACAGTCAGGGATTAGCTATCCTGTTAGTAATCTTGCGACTAATTAGTTCAATCATTATCGTTATTGTGCTAATTTGGACGGAGTTACTGTTTTCTTGATTAATGTTCTAGACTGGCAGGATTTCTGTAGTTTCCTGGTGCAAATAGGGTACTAATTTGGATCAGGAAATAAGCATCTTAATCAGGAAGTGGATTCAAACAATATTTGATGAAGAATTTACTATTCAAACAATTTAATGAACAGTATTTTAAAAAGTAACAATCTCGGGTGCTTTTTTGGTAATCTAATATGCATATTCCAAAATTGTCACTGCCCTTCTACTTAAGGACAAGGCACTTCATAAGCAAGGCATAAATAAACAGGTGGCTTGAGGATTGCCCCATCCTAAATTCCTGACTATTCTGGAGCCTTAATTATCCCGTCCCTTCCTCCAATCATGTGTCTTCATTATGCTGATGTATAAAGCAAAATCATATGATATTCTTTTCTGTGATGTGATGTGCAATCTTAGAAATTCAATAGCTAAATTGACACCCAAAAAAAAAAAAAATCAATGGGTAAAATGGAAAATGAAACTTTAGTCTGATGAATGCAATTTAGCCTCCTAGTCTTCAGTCATATACTATAATGATCCAAGAAACTTTTTGACTCGAGAAAAAATTTTATGAAATAATCATTCCATGCAATAATTAACAAATACAGTAATACTAGCTGTGTTAGTCAGCTGTAGCTGGCACACGTTTTAATCATAAGTACACTTATTAATCATCAGGTAACTAAAATATGATCCCACATTATTATTTAATAAATCAAGTGAATTTTAATAATGCCAGCCTACCAAGTTCAGCATAAGAGCAGAAAAAACAGCTGGTGAATCTCCTTCGATTGCTGGAAGGAAAGCAGGCTTTCTTCTTGCTATTTCATATTTGAATGTATCTGATTGGACATATCTGTTTTTGTATGAAATGGTCCTGGTGCCACTGCTCAGTTTATTAAAATATATTGCATGAAGCATTCCTTCTCCTTCTATCCATGTATGGCTTGATTTTCCAAACATAGAAATTGCTGATTTGTATCCTCCAAAAAGTGGGTTCGGTCCTGCAAATTCATAGATTTCAGTCTGGAATTATTAAGTTGGTAATTGACTAATTGGAAATGCGACAAACATTTATTTGGTATGCAGTTTCTGTCCATATTAGCCAATCTTACATCGTTAAATACAGAAACATAATTCCGTGGTCAATTATTTACACATCGAAACATATTTCAGAAGCAAACGAAATTACTTTGTAGGAAACAGTCTAACAGAATAAATTATGTATCATTACATTGCAATCATCTAAGCCTTTGCACAAAAATCAAAAGTTTTTTGGATGCATGGCCTAGATCCTTACCCCCCCCCCCCCTTTTTTTTTTGAAAGACTGGACACTACATATTGAAATCTAGTGGGCTGCATAAGCTGGATGTTAAATCAATTAATTTGGCACTATGCCAACCATCATGAAAAGATATATTATGCCTTAGTGCCCGCTTATGTAATTAAATTAAAATTTCCCCAGTGTTTAACATTTTAATTTCTTACAATCCTGATACCACTACACTCAATCCAGAAGTTACACAAATGTCACGAAAAAGATCAAGAATAGGAGGTTATAATGGGCAAGGGAATACTTCTTGATTTCTCTTAATTTTTTCAAACTTTGAAAAATGTGTTATAAAGATAAAAGTAATAATAAATAACTAGAATAAAGAGGGTAAAAGAATTCAACCTTGTAACACAATTTATTTTGAGCTAACTGTAACACAATTTCTCAACCTTGACTTCTAATTCAAGACACTCCCATCCTGTAATTCAGAAATCAAGAATCATTTGAGCTCTTGATCATACGGCCAGGCCAACATCATGTTTCAACAACTTAGGTCCACTAGTTTTCATAAATCTCTTGGTTAGGTTTAGAGAATATCCTCTATATTGAATAAGCTCCTAAAGTGGACGGCATCCAAAGACACGAGTAGTACAACAAGAAAACTCAAAGGCTACAACTAGAAGTATAATTTTCTTTCTGGAGGACGCCATTACTTCCAACAGCAACATGGCTGATGGCAAAATCGAATTTCCAAGAATGGAAGCTAATATAAGATCTGGACTCTTGAAGATTTTGAGGATGACCATTTGTACAGTGTCATCGTCAAACAGTGACTGATCAAGTAAATTTTGATCGAGCAGAAAGAGATAGTTCTTTCTTTTTCTCTTGTATTTGACAATAACAACGGTCATATAGCCAGTAGAGCAAGTAGGAAATTCATACAAGAGTAGGCCAAAAAAACCTACTAATGCCCTAAAAATAATTAAAAGTAGGAAAGCATTGTTATTCTTAGGAAAAAAGAAAAAAGAAAAAAAAAACCACCAATGTCCTACAACTCTTTTAAAGCATTGGGTTTGTGCTTCCAACCGTCATTAAAGTGAAGAAATATGTATGTTAAGTATTTTTTTTGTGATACTTTTGATACACATGTATATTGATTTTCTACAAATTATTGAGGTAAAAAAATTTGTTTTAAAACCCAATACAAAAAAGTATGGATTAATTTTTCTATACTAACAGTGTATATACTATTAGCATTGGATAAATGATAAATATGTAAAATTTAAATTTAAAATTTAACTTTTACACACATGTCATGAATTAAATGGTGATAATGTATACACTGTCAGTGTATATAAGATTTACTCAAAAAGTATTTATAAATCAATAAAGTCAACCAACTTTTTTTGTAGAAATCGTACACCTAATATTGAAATATGGGATTTAGAGATTCTGAGCTCAAATCCTTTTCAATTATTGGAAAAAAAAAACTAATAATGAAATGTATCTTTGGCCAGTGTAGGCACGTGCCATGAACCTGACTAAGGATCGCCAGTCACATCAGAGGCCGGTGCGAAATATACGTACCGTTTCTGATGTAAACTCCGTCGGGAAAATCGTCTGGAATAATCCCTTCTATATCCGCTACATGAATACACCCTTCCAGCTCTTCTACCGGAGCAAAATTTGTCTGCACCCATCATTTTTTCTGGTTAATTATCATGTGATTATTGTTCCTAGATTAAGCGTTCCTGGATGCATATCGGATTATGCCCCGGGAAAAATAAAATGGAGGCATGTACCTGAGACGGGAGCAATGGCTGATCAACAAAATCAAACGCCAAGTCAACAAATGCATCTATCAGTTCCACCGCATTCTTCTTGATTGTTTCAGGTACCCCGGTTAAGATTTTCTTCAGCTTTCTCAGCAGTGGCTATACCAATGGAGACAATTTACGGGTTAAGGAACATTGAAAAAAAAAAATGAAAAGGCATAAAGAAACGACACCAGAAATAGAGGGAGAAAATTACCTTGGATGGAAATGGAAGAAAGGTTCCAATAAAGCTGGAGAAATCATATTTTACAGGGAGAGAAGGCCTCTGTGATGAGCTAGAGCTACACACCGGAAATGAATAATTGCATGTATACATCTGTTTGCTGGGGCTGTTGAATTCAGTTTTATCTATAGAAGAAATTCAGCTGAATGGTGTTCATCATGTTGATTAACTTGGAAACAGCCATGTTGAAAGTGCATCTTTATAGGCAAATTGATCAAGGTTTTCTTTGCTTCCGACATCTTGGAAACAGTTAAATTGAAGTGGAGTTTGGCTGCATTATGCTTAGTGGAAGCGATATTTAAATTTGGAATATTCCTAATAGAGCCATATTCTAGATAAATTAATCCAATAAGAATTAGGCTTTGTCAATGTTATGCCATTGTTATCGGCTGATCTTGTTCAAGGTCGATGAGAACTCTATTTTCTATCCAAAAAAAAATAAAAAAATGATGCAGCCAGACAGGAAACGTACCAATATTTCCTAGAGTCTATTTGATATTCTTTTCCATTCCCGGAGTTTGAAGACTCAATCTAATTAGTAGACCAAACCGTTTGATTTTTAGCGAATTGCCTTGATTTAGTGATCAAAATTAAGACTGCAGAGTTTAGAAATTTTGAGTTCAATTTTCACTATGTCTGAATTTCATGTCTCACTATTTATTGTTTTATTTGTAGGGTTCTTGAGTTGTAACTGTCATCAGCTAAAGTTAGTTTACGGATTGTATTGCTCTAACAATTGTGAGTTTGTTGTTATCTTAAAACAAAAGAACCAAAAAATAAAACAAAATACCGGTTAACTTCAAATGGCTTGTTTACGTAGCTCTGGTCAAATTAAGAAGATGACTTGTATAGAAATACTATCCATCCATTTCTATTATTGGTTCAAAAAAAAAAAAAAAAAAAAAAACTAGCCTGTTCTATCTAATTCGTCCAGTATTTCCCTTGATACTGTCTCCTTGACACATAACTCACAGAATGACAAGTTTTGTGCTCAAATGGACATACAAAAAATAACACAAACAGATATAGTGTAAGGATTAATTTTTTTTTTACATTGAAAATGTATACCATAACAAGTCTAGATGCATACTAAGTAATCAAAATTAGAATTCAAACTTCAAATTTTATGATAGGTTGCAATTCTATCATTTATTTTATTATTAATTTCCCCTATTACCTGATTTGACGTGGGTTAATTGATGGATTCTACTTACTTTTAGTATTTTATATTTATTTCAAGGAGTAGAACAAAAATATGATAACAAGTGCCAATTCGACAGGAAAAGAGTCCAAGTCACGGAGCTTATCCCAGGGGCATTGTTGGAGAAGGCAAACTTTTGCCCATTTTAGTAATTGTCGAAGACAAAAGGAAAAAAAGGAGAGTCTTGGATTCATTGAAAAAACCGCCGCAGAGAACAAAAATGTTAGTTGGTAATTAGGTAGTATAGAGAATGAGGTAGCAGAGGATTTTTCCTCCTGGAGCTTAGTTCTTCTTTGACTTTTCCTTCTTGGCTTTTGAGTGGCCTTGCTCTACGGATGTTAGGAGCAACTAGGAGATTCAATCATTCCCTGTAACTTTCGTTTGCCTTTCAATTGTTCGGACGAATTGGGTTTCCCAAAACACAAACAATGGCCGCGACTTTTGCTGCGATTTTGTATGGGATTTTTGCATCAAATATGAACTAATTTTTTCACTATAGTCAAGGAAAAACGGAGGCTCTGGTTTGTTTAAAAATTATGAAATCGATTTAATTTTATCTTTTTTTTATTTATTGGTATTCGCATATTCCTTGATTGCAGTACTTATGATTATTTAATTAATTGATTATTTTGGATCCGGATAATTAGTTAATTTGGTAATCTATTGTCAATTAAGGCATTAAATCCGTAATTATTTAATTGTCTTGAAATAGTGACAACTGGCATGATTAGGTTTGTATCAGGGGAATACGTGGGTTAATCTGAAATAACCCTGGTAGTGCGTTATTTGGTTAAAATAGGGCTCCTCTAATACGTAAGACAATTGGGGAATTAAATCTTATGGGCGTACTTAGGATTATTTCTCAATTAGAGCAGTGATTAACGGACGTACCTTAATCACCGACACAGTAAGGAGGAGTTGACTGCCATCACTTTTTTGGTAGTTATAACCTATTTATTAATAAATAATTGAAATTACCTTTGTTTCAATGATCAATTATGTGAACAATTACTGAAGTGATAGGGTATAATTTATTAGTAATTTTATTATTAATTTCCCCTTCTATCCCTGACAAATATTGTGTTAATTACTGGTATTTACTCATATTTGGTATTTGGAATCAATTTCAGGAGTGAAGCAGAAATATTACCAAATGGAGGGACTTTCTAGAGCATATTACTAAGGGGCAATTCAGTTGGGTCTAGCATTGATAATTCATCTTATCAATTTCGGTGGGGGCCCATGGAATAAAGATCACTAGTCATTTGACCAAAAGGAGGCAACGTACAAAAGCTAAGAAAACTAAGAAGAAATGCGCAGCTTGTGTCCAATTGGTGAGGACCAGAGACCATATAGCCTTAGTCAACTCCCTTTTGCTGATATAAGTAGAGACGTACAGGAGCAAAAAGGGGAACATCTTTCTTACGGCTTTTTACCTCTAGTTTTAGTCTTTAGTTTAGATTCAGTTTTTCTTTCCTTTCCCTGACTGGCCTCTGACACACGCCAGATGTTCGACAATATTCCCCAATGGGAAAAACACCTCTTATTCCTTGCTTCCTAAAAAAAACCGCTATGCCTTTGCAATTTAATAATTCGTGTGATGATTTAATTATGCGGCGTGGCTAAGTCTTCCATCTAGTCAAGGGTCAACTCGACGGCGCAGTCTCGAAAATCTGTGAGATCTAATTAGTTTTCACGTGTTCCTTTATCTATTAATATTTGCATGTTGTCTGATTTAATTTTCATGGGATTATTTTATTAATTGGATGTCAAGGGCCCGATGTTCAATGTGATATATTAATCTCGTGCCAATTTAGTCAATTAAATCCGTAATTGTTTGATTGATTAATATTAGTGGCAACTGGTGTGTTTACACATTAGGAGAGCGTGCAATCTAATTTAAATAACCCTCGTAGCGTGTTATTGATTTGGGCTAGATTTTTCTGGTTATTAATGCAATTGGAAAATTAATTCCTACGGTCGTACCTAAGAGTACTTTTCTGGTTAGGGGTGACTAATGGCCGTACCTTGGTCACCTATAAATTAAGGAAAAATTGGTCATTAGAGTTCCTCGATGGCTATAACTAGTCTATTAATAAATTAAGTGAACCTCTCTTGCATCAATGATCGGATAAATGGACTGTGCCTGAGTAGTTGTATCCTTGGCTAGAATTTATTTATTCCTGATTAAATTCCTGCTATATTTGTGCTAGTGATTTATTCATTTTTAATTAAATTGTTTAATTATTTTTAGTTTCATTCCGGTGAAATCCCCCCTTATCAATTGGACTTTAAAAAGAGACAGATATCTCCAGTCCCTGAGGAGACGACGCTACTTGCCACTGTCTACTATTTAATAATTTTTGTCAATTAATTAATTCTGGTATATCGGATTAAGCAAACTCTTCGGGAACAAGGTGAATCAAGTAACCCATTGCACACCTAGAGTCCCTGCTCCAGTACCTAGGATTAATTATTGACTGCTCTTAGTGATAACTAGGTTCTATATTTATTATTATTATTGCACAGGCTGACGACCTGTCAATTTTTGGCGCCGTTGCAGGGGACTGGCGTTATTATTTGTTTCTTTATTAAGTTCATTTTTGCTATAATTTTCTGGTATTTTTCTAGTGTATGCCTCGGTCTTCTCGTACAGGTAATTTGGTTTTTGACCCTGAGGTAGAGAAGACTGCGCGTAGGACAAGAAAAGAGACCAGACAGCTCAGAGAGGAGCACTCCAGTGCTACATCTCAGAGACCTGAGCCAGAAGTTGAACCAACAGATTCATTTGGTGACACTTCGAGTGACTCAGAGCAAGAAGAAATTTCCATGGCTAATGCACGAACATTAAGGGAGTTGGCTGCTCCTGATTTAAATCAGCAGCCTTTATGCATTACTTTCCCGAGTTTGAGTGATAACACTTCCTTTGAATTGAAATCAGGTCTAATTTATCTTTTACCTTCTTTTCATGGCTTACCAGGTGAGGAGCCGTATAAGCATCTGCAGGAGTTTGATGTCGTGTGCAATAGTATGAAACTCCCGGGAATCACAGAAGAGCAGATAAAAATGAGGGCATTCCCCTTCTCCTTGAAAGATTCTGCGAAGGACTGGCTGTACTACCTGTCACCAGGTAGCATCACCACATGGGACCAATTGAAGAAAAAAATTTTGGATAAATATTTTCCTGCGTCCAGGGCTGCAAGTCTGAGGAAAGAAATTTGTGGGATCAAGCAGCATCCAGGGGAGTCACTCTATGAGTATTGGGAACGGTTCAAGAACTTGTTGCACAGGTGCCCCCAACACCAAATAAGTGAGCAGTTGATCATACAGTATTTTTATGAGGGGCTCCTTTTCAGAGACAGGAGCATAATTGATGCTGCAAGTGGAGGAGCGCTGGTGAACAAAACCCCTCAGGAAGCACGGGAGCTAATAGAGGGGAAGGCAGAGAATTCACAAAAATTCGGTACGAGAGAGGATGTCCCAATACGCAAGGTGAACGAGATAGAGACACCATCTGTCCAGCAGCAGCTAACTGAGTTGACCTCGTTTGTGAGGCAACTGGCTGTAGAGAGAGCAACTCAGGCCAGGGTGTGCGGGATTTGCACTGGTATGGGACACTCTGCAGACATGTGCCCAATGATTCAGGAAGAAACTGCAGAACAGGTGAACATGGCTGGCCACGCGCCCGCGCCAAGAAGGCCCTATGACCCGTACTCGAATACGTACAATCCTGGGTGGAGAGATCATCCCAACCTCAGTTATGGAGGCAATAGGCAGCCCAACTTGGCACCGAACAGGCAGTTTAATTTTGTGCCAAATAAGCCACCAGGGTACCAGCAGCAGTACCAACCCCGACCACTTCCGGCCCCAAGTTCTAGTCCATCTCTGGAGG